GGGGGGGGCGTAAGTTATAGCATTAAATCCATCCTAAACGCATATGAGCCTACCTGTCCACATGATTTTGGCCAGGATTGTAGTTCTATATCTATGTGAAACTTTACATAATTTGTTCTTAGAGCTTGTTCTTGTGCAGCACACAGAAGTGGTTCATTCTCAGGTTTCAAGTCTCCTTTCTTCAGCCACCACCATGTCTTCTCCATATCCACTTCTTTACCTAAATCTCTGTTATATTGTCCATACATTTTCTTGTCAATCCAGGCTTTCTCTAGCTTCTCTACTGCTTTCTTCTTAAAATTTTCTTTTGTTTTGCATCTTTCCGTTTCAATCACGCCTGTCTTTGCAACTTGTTGTAAAAGTGTTTCCACACTGTTCTTTACATACCATCTCAAACTGTTCTTCTCTGTACGAATGCATCCTTCACAACTGATCAAACCTCTGCCGCCCTTTTCTCTCGGTAAATATATATAATCGATGAATGTCGTTTCTTGGGTGAAGACCACCATACAGTGTTATCAGTTTACGTGTTTTGCGATCCATTGCAGCAATTTGATCTTTTGCCATTTCAAAACACCAGCTCCGTACCTCAGCAGCGCAACAGCCCAGTGTTCATGGCCATGATTTTGTTTCTGCCATTCAGTTTTGATTTCAGCACCAGTCTTAATCTCCTCCCGCATTCCTTTACAAACTTTTTCTTTATTTCACCCTCCATAATCTTATCAAATTCCAGTATACCAAGATATTTATATCCATCTTCTTCTACGTACGGACTTTATTGTTTCCTCATCAGGTAGCTGTATTCCATTACATTCCACAATCTTTCCTCTTTTCATTACAAGCATTCCACATTTCTTCATCCCAAATTCCATTCCAATGTCTTTGCCAACAATATGGACAGTTTTTGCCAGTGAGTCTATTTGCTCCTTGTTCTTTCCAAACAACTTCAGAGCATCCATGAATAGAATATGGTTGATTTTGAGTTCTTTTCCGCGAAATTCATACCCTGCCTTTTCCTTTCTCAGTATCAAGCCAGGGGCGGATTTAGGGGTCATCAAACCAGTCACGCGACTAACGTAAAAATTGCAAAAGTTAATTAAAGTCTTAAATATTCGACCAATAGTCCAGTTATTTTTTATCATGCAGCGACACCTTATAATAGTCCAGTATATATTATCATGCAGCGCTAGCAATTAACATTCCAATCGAATTGTAGTCCAGTGATCAAATTTCATACAGTGGTTGAGCCGACGAGCTTAGTCAAGTCAATGAGCAGCTGACATACGCAAAGTCGGTCAGTCAAAAAGTCAAAATCCAGTGTTTTGATTGGTCTAGACGCTTATTGCCATGGTAACA